CATCCATCCATCCATCCATCCATCCATCCATCCATCCATCCATCCATCCATCCATCGGAAGACACATACCACCCATAGGGGTGAGAGGGGAATTTTATAATTTGAAAGTAAATTTGGTTCATGACAGAAAAGGCACTATGTCAGTCTTTTAATACTACACAGAATTTCTACAGTGCTGTCGAACAGAACTTTCAAACTATTTTACACATAGTCTCAGTAACTCTTACTATCATAAAAGGCTCAGGTGCTGTTATTCACACACAGTAAAGTTGTAGGGCAGATGCTTCTAAAACAGTCTCTTCTTTAAAGCTACCTAATGAGTCCATAATCAACACAGAGTTTCCTGGTTTACAGATCAAATGCTATGCACAGTGAGCTTTGTAGGAGGACCATGCACTTTTAAAATTCTGTTATTTTTGAAAGTCTCTGCTCCTCAGAATCTCCTTTCTTGCCTTTCCTTCTTACTCACTCACACAACCAATGCCCCATTCATCTGTTCTATCCACTATAGTGTTTCTCAAACTTGGCAACTTCAAGATGTGTGGACTTCAAGTCCCAGAATTCCCCAGCCAGCTTTTGCCAAGTTTGAGAAACACTGATCTTATTACCACCTCCAACCATCTGCCATTTTTTGTCATACAGCTTAACGTATCAAACTACCTCCACATGTCTCTTTTTATTATAACTTTCTCTCCTATGAATGAATGCTTTTTTAATAAGCCTTCCCATAGGATCCTCATACCTGGTCCTCCACTGCCATTGTTCCTCCACCTACACAACTTACTGTGAGGGTTTTAAAAAAACTTTAATCCTTTCTCCATACTAACGTTTTTCCACCAACTCCTTTGGGAATCAGTGTGGTGGTGCAAGGATTACGTGTTGGACTAAGAGTAACATCCAGGTTCAAATCCAACCTCATCCATGAAAACTGTCTGGATACCCTTGGGCCAGTCACATTCTCTCACCCCAACCTATCCCACAGGGTTATTGTGGGCATAAAATGATGGGAGCTCCCTATGTGTGATTCTGAACTCCTGCAGAATGTCAGGATAGAAGTCCAAGAAGAAAAAGCTTTCACATCATGAACTGTATGGGCTACTTCTGCACAGCTTCTACTCCTCCTCCAACGATAAGAGTTTTTTACAGTAAATAAATTCTTAGCTTCCATTGGGCAGTGGATGAATACATGACTGGAAGCTAGTCTGCATTTCTTAACTGCAAGAGAAAAGGAGCTCAGTGTCCTTTACCTTGAGGGGCTTTGCTGAAGACTTTCTCCATCTTCCTCATTAAAACATCTATAAGGAAGTAGTTCCGGTATTTCTTCCCTGCATCCACTGGTACCATCTCTGGATCTTGGAATGTAAGATTCTCACACCTGACAAAGGGACCATTTAGAGAGCAACATGTAAGACTGGAGATGGGTAGCCACTAGCAAGAAAAGCATTAAGAACTGAAAATGCAACATATTAGGACCTGATGAGTCTATTCCTAGCTTAACCTTCCAACTAACTGCTGCTATAGCTGTATCTTCTTTATTTTTAAAAGCTCTCCATATTATTTTAACACAGAAATGGAAGAGAAGCAAGGAGATTAACTCATTAAAATAGTAGAAGGAGAATAAAAGAAAAATAAACATTGTTGAGGAGATTTATTTGCCCCTCATCAACCTATTTATCTCTACAAGATCAAGCAGTTCTGGCCACATGCATATAAAGATTTTCCACTGGACCTACTTATTTTGTTCCCCACGAGAGTCATTATATTTTAATAATGACTGTTTTTATATATTTATTGCTTTAATTAATTGTTGTATGGCACCCAGAGTCACTTTTTGTGAGATGGGTGGCTATATAAATTTGATAAATAAATAAATAAATTATTCTTACACTAACAAAACTGACTGCTTTGCCACAAATACCACCCTTGAGCACAACAGAGAACAGCACTGAAATACTGCCATTTCCCTGGTCCCTAGATTAGCTATGCATTCTCTGGATAGTTTCAACAGTTTATAGAAACGCATGTCTCTTGACACAGAAAGGATACAATTGGATAGGTCTTCAGTAAATGTTCTAACAAAGTTTTGGAATAGCCACAGTTCTTAGCTTTTCAAATTCTTATAATTTGGAAGAGTTAAGCATAATAATAATCTGATGCTGTCTGGATCATGGTGAGAGGGTTTCATCAGGGTACATGAAGGTGGGAAAGACTGACTTAAATTAACCTTGCATATGACACTTTAATGTAGTCTAATGGTGCAGCAGCTAGACACATAGTAAAATAATTATAGCTGCACGTTACCAGCTTCATGATCTTTTGAGCTGAAACTATTAAGATCCTGCCACACGCACTTTTCCCCCATGACCAGACACAGATAAGTGGATGTAGGTTTCCCAGGCAGCCTGCCATACATGCATTAACAACCTCAGTTCTGCGTAACTTCAAACAAGTTGATCTATCCCAAGTTTTCATACTACTTTTTTGAGATGTGTCTTCCTGCTGATGGGCAGCTGGTAAAAAAAAAAAAACAGCTTGAGAAACTCGGCTAATGCAAAACTCAAACCAACTGACAAAACAGTATAATGATCCTTAGAGATATTCTAGAGTATTCAACCTCTGTCATCCTCAGAATTGGCTCAAAGGCATTTATGAAAAGCCATTAAATTCTAAAGAGATGCAACCTGGCTAAGTGAAGCACAAATCTCAGGAATGTAAAGCAGAAACAACCACAAGAAATTCAACCAACCTGACTAAAGTGCCTTTGAAATCCTAGAAAAGGGAAGAAAAGAAAAGAGGTTAGGATGATTATACATCTAGGTATTATAAAACAAATAAATAGTTTGAAAGACCATTTTTTTCTGTAGAATTTTTCTGGAAAGAGTTTTCAAGCTTGGGGGGGGGGGGTTTTCTGGGGTTTCCAATTCATGGCTTTTGTTTTCAAAAAGCTTTACATGAAGAAACACCATCTGTCAGGCTCCCTGGTTCGAATGTGGCAGAAACTATGCCGATCCTTGACACAGCATGGCTAGATATACCGCATACCAGGGTATTATAAAACAAATAAATAGTTTGAAAAACCATTTTTTTCTGTAGAATTTTTCTGGAAAGAGTTTTCAAGCTTGGGGGGGGGGGGATTTCTTGGGATTCCAAATCATGTGCTTTGTTGTCAAAAAGCTTTACATGAAGAAATACTATCTGTCAGGCTCCCTGGCTTGAATGTGGCAGAAACTATGCAGATCCTTGACACAGCATGGCTAGATATACCGCATACCAGGAGGAATCCAGTTTAAGCAGGTGACTGCCTTCTTAATATGAAAATGCAGTTCCCTCATATATCTTTGTCACTGCTCCTGCCCCCCAGCATTTCTCCCGAGGTCTGGATGGTCCCAACCTGGTTGGCCTTTCTTAAGGTATTAAAGACCTTGATATTCCCACAGGTGTTAACCCTGAGGTTAAGCAAGCCCCATTGCTTGATAGCATATTACTGTTGTTCCAGTGATTTGAAGTGGAATGGGTTTTTTGACCCCAGGTATATTCTACAGCATGTTTTTTTCTTTATTTAAGACATTTGTATAGCCACCCATCCTAAGCCAAACTCTGGGCAGGTTACAGCCAAGGATAAAAAAATATATGCATAATAAAGGCAAAGAACAATAAAACCAATAATAAAAAAACAGAAAAACTTGCCACACCCACACTTCCCTGAGGCAACCCACACATTCTCTTCCACTCTATCCCAACGCTTGGGAAAGAACCAGATCTTAAGCGCTCTCCTAAAACTATATATTGATTTTACAAACTGTGGATTTGGGTTTTTTGGTCTTAATCTTTGCATGCCATCCAGTGTGTCTTTGGTGAGATGGGTAGCAATACCAATTATTTAAATAAATAAATATCTCCTGCAGTTTACATCTGGCGTTTCTCTTTCCACCTTTCCTATGACTTAATGGACATCTAACTTTGTATTTCTCAGGCTTGGTGCTTGGAGGCAGTAGATTGTTGACACAATCAGCATTCCTGCCCTAGGAAACCAGCCTCCACAAAACTCTCACATTGTCAGTGTTGTTTAAAAGTATTATGAGTTTCTTATAAGACTATATGGGTATTAATCAATAGATTATGGGGATCTCTGACCCAGCCACTGAGCCTGCCTGCCTGCCTCTCTCTCTCCTTCCTTCTTCCTTCTTCCTTCTTCCCTTCCCTTCCCTTCCCTTCCCTTTCCCTGGCTGCCCATCTCAAATTTGGCAGCTAACAATATAGAAAGAACAACGTAACAAACAGAAAGAACAGAGAAACACATAGAAACAGCAGCTGGGGTAAAAACAAACTCATAACTATAAATCAGCATAACCAATGTATGGGCTCAGTCACACCTCCTGACCCCCAGGCCCAGTGACAAAATTATTTCTCTAAGGCCTTACAAAAGGCCAATAGGATTGGGGCCAATCTGATGGAATGATATTCCAGAGGGTGGGTGCCACGAGAGAAAAGGCTCTCTTCCTGAGCCCTGCCAGATGGCGTTCCTTAGCAAACGGAACCCAGAGCCTCTTCTGCTACCAGAACCACCCCAGCTTTGGAAAAGTCCTACCTGCAATCTAAATCAGCACAGAACTGAATTTTTGTTATCTCCCACATTTAATAGCCCTTACCTCCTAATCAATGTTTTAATTCAAACACAGAAGGTGATTCAGAAAAAGCCACTTCTACACTTTGGTTGGTGTGTAGTACCAACCAAATCACACAAAATGATTTGGAGACATCTAATTCAATGCAATGACTTGAACAGATTTTCAAGTTTTCAAGTTCTACTTCTGTCCAGCTGAATATCAGTCAAGACCCCTTGACTGCTGTGCATGCTATGCTAATATACTACCCTCAGGATTGTTAAAGCACCCATGTTATAGATAACAGGCCAGGTAGCTTTTAAAGCAATATATATTCCGCATGGCAAACTCTTACTTTTAACAAATCCAGCAATGCAACGCCTGTACCTCTGCATCGATTCTTAATCATTAGAACTACAACAGCCAGCTATGCTTGGGACCAGTCACAAATGTGAATCCAGGCAACTTGGGAAAGAGATTTACCTTGAGCAGTTGCAAACCATCTTGCTTGCTCTTGTCTTCTGCTTCTGCAATAAGACGGCTTAGTGCAGCACCTTGCTCCTCCAGGTGGGTGATGTTGCTACTCTGGCTGGCCAGCAGTATCTCATAGCGGTCTTCCAGCTGGTGAAGCAGCATGGCTTGCTCTCCCACCAGGAATTGATGCAGCCGCTCAAAGTCTGACTCAAATTCTTTCATATCAAATTTCATCTTGTTCTGTGGCCGATGAGGAGATGGTTAGGAAGGCAACACTGTAGAGCCAAGGTTTGGGACTACGCCGCTTTATGGCCCAGCACATTAAATCTATGTCAACTTCTTTAGCGGGCAGCAGGACCAGATAACACCTGCCTTTATAAACAACCACAATCATAGCAAATGGCACAACTGGCACATTTCTGTGCTGGTCCGGATGGAAAAACAGAAAACATTTCCCCACCTCAGAAGTCTTGCTTGAGGCAAAATCACAATGACTAAACCAACCAACACTCATATAATTTATTAAGATTCTTTCTTCTGGATAACAATGCCAAAGGTTATACAGTTTATAATGAGAGAAAGAAAAATGGCTTTCTGCAAAGGGAAATCAATTCTGCTGATCTCAACTATTTTAGGCATTTTCCTGGGCAGAACATGAAATCACCTCTGTTTAGGCAATAAGGAATACTAAAGAAATTAGAAGACCAGGCCAATTCTAATACCTATGGTCCCATATACCCTCAGACTGAGGGATAATATTGGCAGATCCTCTCAGATATGTGCAGAAGAATGGGACCAGATCACACAATACTCATTGCTGGCAATAAAGCCATCTATTCTCTATAAAATATAGTTAAGACCAGGCCTCTAAAGTTCAGATCAAATCCCAGGTAGGCCAGTTAGATTTCTACTTTTATAAATCCATGACTTCAAGATAAGGAATCCCAAAAGAATCATTTTCTTAATACAAAGAAGACCATCTGCTCCTAAGACCAAGACAGTTCCTCTTCATCCAAGCTTTGTGAACAAAAATCTACACTAACAAGGTGATCATTCAGACAAGAGACTGACTGGAAATATAAGAGAATTAAGGGAATAATGAAGTTACCTTGAGATCTGCTATCTTCTCCTCTTCACTTGACTTCTGCTTCAGAACTGCCTCCAGTTTCTTTTTCAGTGGATCCAAGTGACCCTGGAGTTTAGCCTAAAAACAACTAGAATAACTAGAATACCACAACTTAATTGTATTTATGTCATACAAGCATGAAAACAGCAGTTGGCAGAAACTTTTTGAAAGTTCAAATTCAGCGTTCAGAGAAATAAGCATTAAATCTTCATTTCCTGGCAACATGGCTCTCATGCTGCATTTGGATACATCTGATACAAACAGATTTCTTATCTTTACAATACAACTTTACAGCTTCTACAAAATCCCACATCTCTTTTAAATGACCTAAACTTGTAGCTTCTATAGTTGAAAGGAAAAAATGAATTCTATACTGTTTTTGTTTGACAGAAAGTTAGAATCCAGAGCATCCAAATAAGAGAATTTTTACTGAGTACCTTGTACTGATTTATTTATATTTACACATTTGTATAAGCACATCATCCAGGGGTCTTTCCGCAGGCAAAGCAGGGACTCTGTAATTATCCTAGTATGCCACTACTGTTTGTCAAAGCCATAGTACCATTAATGCTTTTATAACACAAAAACCTCCAATTTAACAAGATTACACCCTAGCATTTACATCATCTTGTTCTATTCCGTACCTTATATTCTTGCACAACTTCTTCCAGTGGCATAACACTGTGGTGTTTATGGGCTCGTGACTCCCTGCACACTACACAGATGGGCTCTTCATCTGCCTCACAAAAGAGCTTAAGTGGCTCTTCATGTTTCTCACATAGGGTTCGCTCAACACTTGGAGCCTGACCTGCAGCTAAAGCAGACGGTGCCCCTGAGGAATCCCCTGCTGCTGCCAAGTCCACTGCTTCAGTTGATGATATCACAGGCTTCAATGGTTGTGGGTGCATCTGTCGGATGATCTGCACCATGTTGGCCAGCTGAAGATTGGGGCGGAAGTTGCGATGAGGAAAAGTTTTGCGGCATTGAGGGCAAGTAAAAGACTGACGTTGTGGAGGAGTAGGTGGAGTTGCCGGCACAGTATATTCTGTCATTTCCTCTGGCTCTTCATCCATTACTTCCTCATCATCATCATAATTATCAAAAAATAAATCACTCCCCATAGCATCATCCCACATTTCCTGGTCCCAGTACTCTCTGTCGTCCTCATCATCCCATACGTCGTCATCTTCATCATCATACTCATCCCTGGATACATCATCTTCCTCCTCATCGCCCATATCCCCATCACCCAAATAATCATTGTCCTCCAGATCGTTGTCATAATCCCCATCTTCTTCAGGTCCCAGGTCATCTATCCCCCCATCATCAGCACCCCCCTCTGAGCCAGATGCTCCTACGTCATCTCCTTCTTCTTCACCCGAACCCCAAAGCTGAGTGATGCAGACACGGCAAAAGTTGTGGCCACATCCAATGGACACCGGGTCTGTGAAATAATCCAGGCAGATGGCACAGACAGCTTCCTCGTGTAGGGTGGCAACAGGGTTCAGCGGGCCCCCAGAGCTACTGCCTGCAGCTACTGCTGCTGCCATGAGACCTCCAATTTCTTCGCAGCCCACGCCCCAGCCGACTGGGCACGCCGACACCTCCCTGCCTAGAAGCCCCCTCCTGAAGGGAGCGCCTCCCTCCCAAGCCAGCTATTTCCCTCTGTCCTACCAGGACCTCCACTCCCTTTCCTGCCTCCCCGCCGCAGAAAACTTCCCTCCCCAAAGATTCTCGGGAGAAGAGGGCACCCGCCCGCGTCCCTCCTGCCCCCGCAGCTCTTTCCCGCTCGCCCGGCCC